AAAAAAACCCTCAAAAAAAAAAAAAAAAAATGGAGGAGAGCTCGACCACTTCCGGACAGTGCAGGAGCCTGAGAACCAAGTGCACCCAACCTCCAGGGTGACTCTGACAAACAAAGCTGCAGATTTGGAGATGGGTCCGGAGCAGCTTTTGCTTTGGGTCTCTATCACTTTAATACAGGTCCTTTGATAATGAAGTCAAATTTCAAAGAAAATAGAGCATGCAACAGACCTTGACAAGGGTTTTATTTAAGGTATTTCATGCTCTGCAGCAGATTTTAAAATATCAGGCTATCTGATAAATCGTAAGTGACGACTTAATTTAGGCAAAGTGCATGAAAAAGCAGTTTATTTAACTATTTTCAGGGCACTGGGTAAGGGACCTAGAGATTTAACAAGAAACAGAGGCCCTCAACCCAGGGGAGAGAAACTGCCCCTCCCCTCCCTGCAGACTTCAGGGGGAAATCCAGTGGGATTGTGCATGCAAAGTGCACACCCCAGGGCACACTCAGTAGGTCATGCTATTAGTGTGCTTGTCCGGGTGACTTCTTGCTGCCAGAAGCTTATGGAATGTTTAGGAGGAAGGAAAGAGGTTGCCATCAGCCCACGAGGCATCTTTGCTGGAAAGAGAGAAGGGCAAACCTTGCCCGCCAATGCAGGTGAGTGAGCGGATGCACAAGAACTGGGCCCTGCTCGCCGCCCTGGTCAGGCACCTGCTGCTCCAGCTATGGCAGTCCCGGATCGGCTTTCTGTTTCCAAAGTGGGAGCCACCTACCCCTTAGAGAAGGAAGATGTAGTCAACTTGGAAATGGGATTTTAACTAACATCGAGCTTCATGCAAGAAAATCATGCCCTTCCTAACTCCTCTTCTCATCCTGAAGACACTGAGTGGAAAGTGTCACTTGGTACTCATGTGACCTGAGACCTCTTTCTCAGGGCCCGGCCACTGGCAGACGACTTGACTCACGCAACGCTACCCACACGGAATTATCATGTCCTTGATTCTGTGTCTACTGTCACACCCGCCTGCTCTCTATACAAGCAAAACTGGTTCCTTGCTCACAACTGACATACAAGGTTTCCTAAGCACATATAAAATGTATGTAATTCGATTGCAAGTCTCTTTAAAGAAATAAAGAATGTTTTAAATATACACCAGTATAAGCAACATAGCACACGGCAGAAGGCCACGACAGTGCCCTAGACGGGTCAGGACCACCCAGCTGAGGCGAGTCGTTGGACACTGCAGCGCCAGGAAGGAGCTTTCTCCGTGCGAGCCAAAGAGCCAAAGGCTGACGGACCCCAAGGTTTGCAGGTGGAGCTGGGGTGGATGCAGACTTGCAGAGGGACCTCAGGTGTGTGGCCGTGTGCTACGGTTTGAATCACAAACCTGGGATGTGTCCAAGGCCTGTTTCTAAGCAATCTGAAAAACTCATTCATGTCATCACCTAAAGCCCTCATGGCTGGCCTTGTGAATGACACTTTCTCAATCTCTGCCTAGTTCTAGCAAAAGCTTTCTGGTCACAGCTTACATGTATCTTATTCTGGCTTAGCGCTTGGGTAAAAACCAGTTTTATTTCCTTTCTGAAAATGTCCTGATCTGACTCTCCTCTTCTTCAAAAAATAATAACAATAATAATTGCTAAGAACTTCCACGGTCACTGTAGTAAGCATCCGCAGACCCAAATCCCCAAACGCACATCTGTGGCCTCCAGAAATAGAGGTGTTAAAATTCGGTGGGCCATTCAGTGATGTTGAGAGTAGAGACTTTTTTCTTTCCACAGGGCTTGTGTGCTCACTAGAGATGAGAGAGATAGTGAGAGAGGGAAACCGGGAAATCATCCCCCGGGGGGGATGGCCACACAGCAGTCCCTTCTCCTCCATTCTCCTCATGAGACTTTGGGTACACACATGTGCCGGGTGTGATTTTCAAGCCACCAGGTCCAGGACTCGAAGTGGGGTCGGCCATGTGGAAGTTCAGCACCTTAACCACTCTCCACCTGCTGGCCCCGGTGGGTAGAGACTTAATCCAAGCGTGCCGTTGAAAGGTGGAATCTTTGGGAGGGGAAGGTAGCATGAGGTAACCAGGGCAGGCTCTGAGATTGACTCCTGGCCACAGTACAAGGAGAGACCCCCACTCGGAGACACGCTCTGCTCTTGCTCTGTCTTACCACGCGATGACCTGCACCACCTCAGGGCTGTGCAGGGCGTCCCCACCATCAAGCCGACCCTCACCAGGAGTGGCACCTTGACTTCAGACCTCCAAAACCATGAACAAAAGACACCTCTGTTCTTACAACCGACAGTGTGGGACTCAGTTACTAGGCTGCCGAGGACAGACGGAGACCCACTAGCAGAGGCGACCAGGGTCCCTTCTATAGATGCTGTCGGCAAAGGCACCTCTCTGCTCAAAACCACAGGGCAACTCCATGGTGTGCTACCTGAGCACCCAGCTCGGCTCGTGCTGCGGCCATGTTGATTGCTGGAGCTGGCATCTGGTCCTCAATAGCCAACTGCATCTGTGGGTGCAGGAAAGAACTGTGACAGGGTCTGTAATTACAGATGCAGAAATAAAACCAGGACGCAAGGTGTGACATCCCCCCACACATGGTACCTGTGCCATCACGGGAAAATGCCAGGCTGTGAAAAAGACACTGATCCGCTAAATCCGGATGACTTATCTGGGAAAGGAACGTCAATTGCGTGTGCCTTTAATGGGTGCAGAGGTGACGTTCTCGTTTCCAGTGTCTCACGAACAGCATTGATAAAGGACTTGTTGCAGGCAGCCTCGAACTTGAAAACCCAGCCTCTTTTTGTTTATTTATTTATTTATTTGGAGAGATTTTTGCTATAGGGCATGTGCACTCACCAGAAAGACAGAGAGACAGAGAAACAGAAAGCGAGGGAGGGATGGCCACGCTGCAATCCCTTCTCCTCCATTCTCCTCTCGGGATCTTGGGCATGCACGCACACATGCCCGGCATGAGTTTAAGCCACTGGGTCCAGGACTCGTACCGCAGTCAACTACACGGGAGTCCAGCGACATAGCCATTATGCCAATTGCTGGTCCCCCCATTCTCTTCTATAGTGATGGTTTCATCTCAGCAATATCAAAGTGTATGGGAATATCTTCCCCTGAAATAGCTTACGTGGCTCAACAAGTATCTTTCTTCCAGGAAAAATTGCAGGTGGAGGTGCAGGCCAAGGAGCCTTGCTCCTCTGTGCATAAAGAAAGGCCCTTTATTTCAACATTTCCTTCACCTTTTTTTCTATATTGACTTTTAGTTGAGTTGGACAATTTTTACGGGATTTTTTTCCCACTTGCTACTCAAATATGTGTAGAGTGAAGACGCAGACATGGGTGGGGTGGGGAAGACTACAGCCGTACGTGTGTCTGGCCGCCATGACTGCTGTAGGGCTGACACCACGTCCCTACCTGCGTTGACTCGGCCGGACCCTCGTCGTTGTATATCGTCAGAGTCTGATGGGCGTGGGAGCTCAGGATCGGCAATCTGAGCCTCCTGCGTTTGGACAGCAAATAGCATCGCAGCAGGAAAAGCAGAAGTACTGTGGTAAGACAGGGGGGCTGGATGAGCTCACTCAAACCAGAGATTTCAGAGGATCAGGCTCTACAAGTGTATACCCAGCACCTATGAACGGACCAGGCCAAACTGCGTCTTAATTATCTTTGTAGCCACAGAGGTCTGCAGAGCTGGGGGTGCCGTAGATGCTTGGTGACCAGTGGCTGACTTAATACTTCCTGGCCTGGGACATGGCATTGCTATTTCCTGGGAAAGCTGGCTTCCTGATGACCCTTTGCCAAGCCCAGAAGCCTGGACAGACGCATCGTCTGTCCCCTTGGTTGCTCCGTAAAAGGGCCGCCTTTTGACCTATTCACCCATGAATTCCGTTGCTTCGACTGCTGCTTATGGCCTAGAAGCTGCTTTTTCCAATCAACCAGCATGTCTGACCAGCGTGGCAACTTTTGATTTGAGTCTAGGAGCCTGAGTGAACCCAGAGGGCATTCTCAAAGGCATCCCGCCAACCCTGACACAGCTGTCCCCCATCCTAGTGGGCCCCCTAGTCAAGGCCTATGGCCTGGGAAGAGGAGTCCCATTTCCAAGACACTGACCTGCCAGAGCCACCAACGCTGCACAGACTGAGAACAGGGCCCCCTCGAGAAGCCCTGCCCCCACGGCTGCGTGCTCCACACACGTGAGCCCGTCGGGACAGGGGCAGATCCTCACATGCACGGTCTGCTTCTGGGAGAGCCCCTGCTTGTCTCCAATGAAGAGCGGCACTGAGTAGTTGCCCTGCGGGAGGCTTCTCGACATGGAAAGTTCGACTGACAGGCCTGCAGAGGGGAGAGGACCTTCACGCACTGCCTGAGATTTGTTCACTGTTCACCTACCAATGCACGCTTACGGACACCTTCCACAGGACAGGGCTCTGTGTGAGAGTCAGCTGACTGCAAAGTCAGGGGGAGGGGTCCCATTTCTGACACCCACAGCGAGTTCAGGGCGTCCCAGACCACCCTCCGGTTCGACGGTTCTCTGGAAGGGACTCATATAACTGACAGCTGTTACCCTGATGGCTACCATTTACCACAGGGAGAGGACACAGACTCCTCCCAGGCAAGGGGGGACGCAGAGAGCAGAGTCCAGAAGAGAGGGCAGACCTTGTGCCGCCCTCTCTCCAGGGAGTCAGGATGGCGTGGCTTCACTGCACCAGTGCATGACAACACAGAGAACACCACCAACCCAGGACGCTCACCTGAGCCTCTGTGTCCAGTGTCTTTCCTGGGGTTTGGTCAGGAAATCTGGTTGGCCTCCATGTAGCTTATTTCTCTTCAGTCTCCTCAGTGGTCAACTGACACACGTAACAGAAGTCCCCACCCTAAATCACACTGCTCCTAGCTGGCTTATTGCCCAGGTAAATAAAGATGCTTTCATCGGCCAAGGGCTAAGAGATCCCCTTCCAGGAGTCCAGGGCAAAGACCAGACCTCCAAAGCCAGGCAAGATGCTTTACCGCACACTCTGGGCTGAGGACTACAACCTCAGCGTACAGTTGCAGCTCGAGTTGTGCTGCACTCCGCAGACCCTGCTGATAGGGGCATGTGGGCAGGGATGCCAGTAGCTTTTAAGCTGCTTAACATCTGTTCCTCTTCTAGTAACACTACCGCAGTTTTCCTTCCAGGGAGCCCACTCTTCCCAAACTCTCAGCCTATTTGCATCAGAAGAGGGTCAGCCCAGAATCCAACAAGACCCAGGTGTGGATTCAGAACCAACCCACCAGTATATGTGCCCTCCCAGCCCCCACCCGAAGGACTGGCCTGGCAAGTGGCCCACCACGCAGTGACATGAATCCTGGGCTTTCACTGCAACCCCCTTCTTGCCGGGTGTAGGATTGGCAGCAGGGACCCCCAGCAACTACCCTGCCACCCGATGAAGACAGCCTGCCTGACAATGAAGGATCCCAAAGTTGAAAGGTGGCTTCCAGGGAGGCCCTTTGAGCACCTGGGCCGCTTGGAGAGAGCACAGTGCAACTCCTTTTTTTTTTTTTCAGTTATGCAAATCAATACAATCTTTTCTTTTGCCTCAGGTTGTTTGAGTCGGGTTCCTGTCATCTCTGACTCCTTGTCCCTGAAAAACAATCCAAGCACTCACCCCAGCTTTTCCCCAGTTGCCATGTGAGCCCCCACCCGAAGGACTGGCCTGGCAAGTGGCCCACCACGCAGTGACATGAATCCTGGGCTTTCACTGCAACCCCCTTCTTGCCGGGTGTAGGATTGGCAGCAGGGACCCCCAGCAACTACCCTGCCACCCGATGAAGACAGCCTGCCTGACAATGAAGGATCCCAAAGTTGAAAGGTGGCTTCCAGGGAGGCCCTTTGAGCACCTGGGCCGCTTGGAGAGAGCACAGTGCAACTCCTTTTTTTTTTTTCAGTTATGCAAATCAATACAATCTTTTCTTTTGCCTCAGGTTGTTTGAGTCGGGTTCCTGTCATCTCTGACTCCTTGTCCCTGAAAAACAATCCAAGCACTCACCCCAGCTTTTCCCCAGTTGCCATGTGTCTCCCGTGTCTCTCCAGCTTCTGTCCAGTGCAAACGTGAACGGGTCTGAGTAGGGCGCCAGGTCTGGGTCCTCTGCCTGGATGAGCAGCGGCTCCTTCAGGGTAGACTCACAGACCTCCAGGTAGCGGGAGTGGGGCCGGAGGGAGGGAGCATTGTCATTGATATCAGACAGGAAAAGCACCAGGGTCCCAGTGCCTGTCTTCTGCAGGAGGCCTTGGAAAGGGCGAGAATGCCAGGAAGGTTTAGCAATGAAGAGAGCATTTCTCGTGCATACAATCCCCTAGAAAATCATCATGCTTAATCTCTCAAGAAAGAACCATTCTGCTGAAACACCAGAATCGTTCCCCTTTCAAAGTGATAAGCTTCACTGGCATGCACTGAATCTTTGCTCCTGCCTTCATGAAGGTTTAGAATACTGAGTAAGCTCACCAAACGCTTGAGATCATCGTAGAGTCGCTCGCGGGGCTAAGAGAGTATCGCTAGCACCCTTTGCCTGGTTTCTCCCAGTGGTAATGCCTCTCAAGATGATAGACAAACAATGTGGGACATTCCCATCCCATCAGGACCACCCCATCTCCTTCTTCACATCTGGCTTGACTGACATTTTGATTTATTTAATGATTCCACATTCTTCCTGCTCTACAAAGAACACTGACCCTCTTTCTGCCTCCCCGCTCAATTCATCCCATCCTACTCATTAACTATACAAGTGGGACGTACAGTTCCATAAAACTTGGAATCCGTGTTATTTTCTTAAATGGGATTTTTAAAGTTATTTGAAAGTTTTTATTTATTTAACTTTATGTTTTGATGCATTTGAAAATTCAGCCTTGGGGGACTGGAGAGAAGAGTGCTGAAGTGTACTCATAAAACCACCCATCCTGGTTACGAGGCAGTTGTCCCATCCGGGTGGCAGCTGGCTGAGCGCGTGCTCCATCCCTAGCACAGGAAACTGCATTAAACATGCAGCACACGCAGTTGGCCTTGACAAAGAGCTGAAGCACTGTCTTAGGAACATGTACAGAAGATGCTGGGTGTGCTGCAGCTTCCCCCTGGGGTCAGTGTCTCTGAACGCCGCCTTTCGTGTTCCTGATCCCTGGCTTTCCATTTCAAGAATCACAATCAAAAGTAAGCGGCAGCATGGATGCACAGGGACACCAGCGTTTCTTTGCTAGTGTTCCAGTTTTCAGCGGGATCACTTCCCTCAGGAGCATGGAGCGGCACTTCTGTCCCCCGCAGGGGTGAACACTCACCGTCATTGACCGCGTGGGCGATGATGGTGTAGAAGCTGTCGGTGACGTGGGGGGACTCTCGGTCAATTTGCTTGGTGGTGAGAACTGCTCCAGAGTTTTCGTCTACCGTGACCCAGTTTGCGGGATCATGAACTAGTTCATACCTTGTGAAAGTGAAACACACACCATTTGTAGAATGAAAACATTACATCAAAAGACAGATCAAAATACATCACAGAAACACAATTCTGTAACAAGTCATTTGGGGAATCCTAAGACAAAACTTTAAGAGTGTGAATTTAATGAAGACTCCGGGACGAGAATTTAAAGACTCTCTTAGTGTGTCAAATTGACATTCACTAGAATATGAAGTGTCCCCCTGTTTCGTGGGCTAAATTCAACTTTGCCTTGGGGAAACATTTCATCCCATAAAAGAACCGGTCAACAGCTCTCGGTAGGTGCTGGTAGCTTAACGTCATGACTCGTCTGCCCTGGGGTCCGCTTTGTGGCGGAGCCCTGGGGTCCCACGTGGTGACCTGGTCTCGTCAAGGTGGTCTTCTGCATCCCACCTTCGCTGTGATCCTGGTGCTAGTTTAAGAGGCAGGCGTGCCAAGCCCTCCAGGATTTCCGAGAGCTGGTGGGCATCTGATAAACCACAGGAACCCCATCAGGTTGCCAAGACTCCAGTGCTAGGACCCCACAGAGGAACTTCCCTTCCTCAGGCAAACAGCCAGGGAGCGTGGGCCCCAGAAAGAAGGGCAGCGTGTCCTAATGCTTTTTCTGTGTCATCCTACAAAAGCTCTTCGAAAGGGTCAGTAGCCATCCCTCTGATACTGGATGGGCCGTGCTTCTTAAAGGGGCAAAGTTTTCCCATGCACGGCTTTGCCTTTTCCTGGAAGTTCCAGAAGTTACTTGGAAGCACTTTGGGTTTGCAGTATTTACAAACCAGAGGCAGAAATTCTTCTGTGGGTCCTCTCAGCCCAAAAGACAGCTCCCTTTGCAAGTTCGCGCGGGAACAGTAACTCCGATGAATGCCAACCGAGTAGAGCATGGCGAGCCGAACCTGCTCATCAGGGCACACCTCCACCCTGTCACGGGGACGGGGCCTACGCCTTCGAAACCACGATGAAAAGAGAATGGACTATTTAGTTCTTCACTTCTGTGCAGTCCAAATGTCAAGTGAGACTTAGGAGCTGACTACACTGAAAAACACAGGAACAACACTATGAAAAATAAGATGTGGGCTCTGGCCAGACCACGACCCGGGGGCTGGATCCCACATGCCCAACTGCATGCTTTGAGTTCCAGGCCCATCTGCTTGAGAAACATGCCAGGCGTGTGTGTGTGCATGCCCAAAATCCCAACGGGAGTGGGGGAAGGAGAGGGGTTGCATGTGACCACACCCCCTGGGACAAGTTGTCTTGCCCCGCCGCCCCCACCACTTCTCTGTCTCCGGCAAATTTTACAAAGGAGAAACCCTGTCGGGGTGCTGTGTATCTCTCTATCTCCTCCCTCTGTGTCACTCATGGAATAAATAACTTTTAAAACAGGGTGAATGTGAAATATACTCAATTTAAAAATATATACATATTTTAAAAACTAGCACTTATCTTTGTCCAGAACCACAAGGTCTACCAGTTTATAACTTCTGGTGAAGAGAAAGAAACATAATACAAATGATTATTTTTGGTTTTGTTTTGGGGGGTTGTCTTCGTTTTTGCCGGAGAGTGTGTGTGCTCACAGGAGAGACAGAGACAGTGGGAGGGAAAGTGAGAAATTCCCCCCGGGGAGATGGCCACGCTGCAACCCCTTTTCCTCCACTCTCCTCCCGGCATTTCGGGCGGCATAGGTGCTCAGCGCACCTTTCAAACCTCTGCAGCCAGGACTCGAATGGCCATCAGCCATGTGGGAACCCAGCACCTCAACCTTCAGGTCCAAACAAATTATTTTAATTAAAGAGAAAAAAGACTGAAAGACACGGGGAAGTGTGAAGGGAAACAGGCGAGAGAATTTTGGGGGGGGAGGGTGTCAGAGGAAGCCTCGGGGTGGAGAGACCCTCAGCATGCTGGAGCCCAGAAGCCCTTGCAAGGGCAAGGCAGGTTGCCCAGCGGGAGTCCTCCCAGCCAGCCTAGCTCCTGGCACAGGGCCTCAGCCCCTCTCTGCTCTCACCGGATCTGGCCTGCAGCTCTGTCAGGGTCCGAGGCGTTGAAAGTGCCCAGGTGGATGCCAGGCCCGGCACCATCCTGGGCGCTGACCAGGAAGCTAGGCGGGTGGAAGGCGGGCGGTACGTCGGCGTCCAGCACCCGCACGCGCACCGTCGCTCTGGCCACCGCCTCCGCCTCCTGCAGCCGCTGAAGCCTGCCCGCCTTGCAGGAGAAAAACGGCTCCTCGTTCTCCGCGACAATGAGGAGGCTTGGTGCTGGGCCGGTCTCGTAATCCAAAGGCTGCAAACACCAGAGAGGACTCTTGGCTCCCACCTCGCTCAGCGCCCAGGAGGCGCGCAGCCCCTGCCGGCCCAGAGCTGTGGCTTCGGCCCTCCCGCGGTTATGTGTTTACTGGAGGTCTATGCAAGGACGGCCTGCAGCTCATTTTCAAATCACCTACGGAGTTTTCTCTCTCTCTCTCTCTTTTCTCCCATTCTTGTGGTTGAAAAAAGCCACCATCCATCAGAGGGTAATTAAAAAATATAGCAAAAACGTAACTTAATGGATTTAGTGTCACTTAGTGTGACAAGGCTGCAAAAGAAAAAGGAGGGGGGACCTTAGGGAACTGTACTGATCAGAGTCGGGTCACCACGTGCTCAATGACTGAAAAGGACTGAGGAACGGGACATTGGGACATCCAGCCCAGGCACCTGGTGTGCAGTGTCCCTGTGGCCTTGCTGTTCACAGCGGCGTCCGTGGGCCATGGGCGTCACTCCGGAGCTTGTTAAACTGATAGGCGGGATCTCAGGCTTTGCCCAACACTGATGTGGGGCCTCCTTTGGCCAGGTGACTCACCTGTGTTACTCTAGGGGCCTGGTCACTCGGGTCTGGCTGAGAGTGGTTGGTACTGGAGTCACTGCAGTCAGACCCCACCAGAACCCTGCTCCGTTGCCCAAGCTCTGACTGCTTGAAAGGATCCCAACTCTCTGGGCTTTAGGTCCCTTCTCAGCAAAATGAGAGAGTAATACGTTCTTTCAGGACCAGCTTCTTCAGAACAGAAGGCACCATGCCGGGGCTCACCATACTTTCAGGGACCACCCAGGTTTCTCATTCCTTTTCAACTTTCAAGAGTTTAATGTGTGGGACCAGCAGGTGCCATCATGGTTATGTTGCTGGACTACCACGTAGTCGGCCATGGTTCAAGTACCAGACCCAGTGGCTTAAAACTTACACCAGGCACATGTAGACAGAAGGACAATGGAGGAGAAGAGAGTGTGGCATGGCCACCCCCCTGGGGGGGGTGATTTCTCTCTCTCTCTCTCCAGTGAGCGCACACTCCCTATAGTAAAAATTTCTTTAAAAAAAAAAGGTTTAAAGTGTTAGGGGCTGGCCACCGGCACAGCAATAACGGGCTGCTCAAGAGATGTGGGGTCCCAGTGGAGGAGCCGGGTTGGGGCCCGTGCACACACCCATGGTCCACACCAGCCGGGAGGGCTGCGGGGAGTGTAACAAGGGGCCTTGGAGAGTGTTCGTCTTTCTCTCTCTGTGTCTCTTTCTCAGAAAGCAACATTTCTTTCTCTCTCTAAAACAAAGAAGTCAAAATAGACCCAAAAAGTATAAAAGCTTAAAATTTAAAGCATTTACAAATAAGAAGAAAAAAAGAACGTTTAGTGATGAAAAACTATTTTCTTTTTTTAATCACATCAGACAAAAATTTAAATTTTAGGGCCTATGTAAATCTATTAAATTTTGCCTAAATCATTAAACAATTGAACATTGAAAGCTTTAGTCATAGCAAGAACCACACTTGGGCGGGCAGGGCCAGCAGCCCCCCACACGAGTAGCAGTGCGACCCTGCCTTCCCAGCAGGTGGTGGTGGCTAGCGGTGTGCTTGGCAGGTGTGAGCTCATACTGGCTCACCCCTGGATCCACACAGAGGGGCCTCAGCGTCTGTGGCTACCTGGCTGGTGTGTCTTCAGTTACAGCTTTACCTTGATGACCTGTAAGATCCCATCATTGGTCTCGGGGTCAGTCGAAATGTTGAAATGTCCCTCCGCGTTGCCATTCAGTATGTTGAACTTGACTCTCCAAGCTGATGTAAACGGCAAGTCACGATCTCGAACATGGAGATGCAACACATCCTGGCTGACCTGGCCTTCAGAAATCTGCATCTCATACTGAAAGAGAGCATCCTCACGTCCACATCGGAGAGAGAGAAACGCAGCTGGGACAGAAGCAGGCAGGCAGAAAGCAGAGGGGGGAGGACAGACGGAGGCCCTGGCACAGCACCTCGAGTGCTCCTCTTGCTATTGGAGCTGGCCTCAAAGGAGCTGAAACTCCACCTGCCACAGCCCAGAGACATCTGAGGTGCGCCTCGTCCCTGCGACCTGTCCCTTGTGGCCTCCAACTGAATAATTTTTAAATTATCTTAAGTTCAACTCAATTTAAATTCAATTCTACTTTTCTAAGAATTTTCAAAATAATAGTACACATCCTGGAGCCAGCAGATGACGTAATGGCCCTGTCACTGGAGTCCCGTGTAGTTGGCTGCTGTTTGAGTGCCAGACGCAGCAGCTTACAACTCACGCTAAGCATGTGCATGCATGCCCAAAATACCAAGAGGAGAGTGGAGGAGAAGAGACGGTGGCATGGTCACCCACCCTGGGGGTGCTTTCTCACTTTCTCTCTCTGTCTCTCCCGCAAGCGCATGCTATCTATAGCAAAAATCTGTCTAAAAAGTAAATAAATAAATAATACGCATCCTAGTTTATGCTCCCTAAAAAGCCTAGCTCTTCTAAAATAAGACACTTGCAGTTATTAGATTAAGTTGATCACTTTTCTAATATACCCAGATTTTTAAAATAGCTGGTTAGTCGACATCATGGTGACAGTGTCTCTAAATGAGCACATCAGAATAGCAGGTACACTTCCCCACCCTCAGAAATATTTATTTATTATTTATTTATTGTTTACTTCAAAATACTTATTTCCCTTGCTTCCTTTGTTCTTTATTTTTTACATTCTATCACTGTATAACTTTACAACAAAGAAAATTAAATTTCCCAGCATAAATACACTATATGTTAATCCAGTCAAGGGAAAAAGCAGGTATACTTTTTCCAGCCTTCCTTTTGAAAGCTCTTCACCAAACCGGAGAAGGACATAATATTAATTGGCAGTTATTGTATAGTTTTTAGCGAGGTGCTTTCATCTGAAAACACTTCTTTTGCACGGTTCTTTTTACAAATACTGGTTGCGTCATTTATTCAACACAGCTGCTCCGTGTCCATTCTGTCCCCGACTCCGTGAGCAGGCTGGCCGAAAGCTGGGCCTCCGTGAGCGGCTGCGGCGTGTGGGAGGACCGAGGCGTAGGTGGGGCAGGCAGATGACCAGGGAGAAGCCGGTGAAGAAGAAAGAGCAGAGGGCCGGGGTGCCCTGGGAAGCGGGGGGAGCTTGTAACTGAGAACTCACTGCGAGTCAGGAGGAAGGGGACCATGGTGGACGTTTACTCTTAGAAATACATACCGAATAATAAACGCAGCGTTGGTACAGAGCCCGGGAGATTCTTATGCTATCTGCTAGCTATCTGGCGCAACTTAAAGCCGCTCCTCCGAGAGTGGTTGGAACACTCCCTGAGAGCGGGAAGGACCCCTGCAGCTCGCTGAAACCCTGCATGGAACCTGATAGCCATGAGCGCCTCACCTTCCCCTCCCAGCCTGAACCCAGAGCAAACCTTGGGACCAGGCTTCCCCAGCAGGGGACACGGCAATGTCTGGAGACACTGTGGCTTTCACGACGAGGCCAGGCCAAGGCTGCGGCCCAGGAAGCTGCTCAGCATCCCATAAGGCACCACTGGCCCCAGGACAAAGGATTCCCACCCCGAATGACAATGGTATGGGGGTGGAGGGACTCTGACTTCTAGGGAACAGAAGTCTCTATCTTCCCTAGGTCTCAGCTACTTCATCTGTAAAATAGAAATCGTGGGGTCATTTCGACAATTAAAAATGACGAAATGTACGAGGAAAACTGCCTTGCACAATTTCTGGCACAAAGCAGCCAAGACCGCAAGCTCCCAGGACCACCAGTGCTTCTCCACCAACACGGTCTGCCTTCGGGGGTTCCGGCTTCCGGATAGAGTGTCGGTGATGACTCAGCAAAACTGAGCCCTTGGTTTAGGATTAGGGCTTTAGCCCGGGGAGGGGCGTGGCTTACGTGGTTGTGGGCAAATGAGGGCTTGTGGTTGTTGCCTTCCTGCACGTGGACGTGGACAGTGGCCGTGGACGACAGTGAGGGTTGTCCACAGTCCCTGGCGCTGATCAGAAGTGTAAATCGAGGAGCTGTCTACAGGGAAGGAAAAGGAAAGTGAAGCCCTTCAAACAAGGAGAGGAATAAACAAACACTTCATCTTAGTGATTTCAGCAAGTCTAGCCATGGCGGCTTCCCCACTGCAAACAGGGTGCAAGTCTGGGAGTCAAAGACAGGGAGCACATTCCATTTAAAATAATAAAATCCAGGGACCAGCAGTTAGTGTAATGGCTATGTCGCTGGACTCCCACGTAGTCAACCGCGGTTCGAGTCCCGGACCCGGTGGCTTAAACTCACGCCAGGCGCGGGTGCGTGCGTGCCCAAGATCCCGAGAGGAGAATGGAGGAGAAGGGATTGCAGCGTGGCCACCCCCCCACCCCCGGGAAGTGATTTCCTGCTTTCTGTCTCTCTGTCTCTCTCTGTCTGTCTGGCGAGCGCACACGATCTATAGCAAAAACCTCTCAAAAAAATAAATAAATAAAATAAATAAATAAAAATAAAATCCACATAACCTCATAATCTAAGCATCCTGAGAGCTGTATTTCTCCAGTAAGACGATTAATCCGGAAGCTGTTTTCTTTCAGTAATGGTGCTTGAGAAACGAGGAAATAAAGAACTTGAGAATTTGGAGTGTTTTCTTGATCCAAATCAACTGCCACCATCTGAAAAATAGTTTGACCTAGGAAGAATTTTTAAAAATTGTTACAACAGAATGCTGTAGCAGAATACTGTGAAGTTACAAATAGTAAAATTACAATTTTAAAAGAGAAAATTTACAAATGTGCACATACAAAAAGCACACTCATATCTGTGTAAATATTTAATATATTCATACACATTTTTACTATGATAAAGATGAAAAATGTCAGGACCAGCAGTTAGCGTAATGCCTATGTTGCTGGACTTCCATGTCATCAACTGTGGTTCAAGTCCTGGACCCGGTGGCTTAAACTCATGCTGGGCACGTGTGCGTGCATGCCCAAGATCCTGAGAGGAGAATGGAGGAGAATGGATTGCGGTGAGGCCATCCCCCCAGGGGGTGATTTCTCGCTTTATGTCTCTCTGTCTCTTTCTGTCGTTCTGGGGAGCGCACGCGCCCTATAGCAAAAACCTCTCAAAAAAAAAAAAAGAGATAAAAAATGTCTATTATGTAAATATCCATTTGTAATTCTATGTGAAAATCTATGCACACAGACATAAGCCTAACATATGTGTGTACACACACACATAAGACACAAAGAAAAGATTTTAAGGGAACCAGCAGTTAGCGTAATGGCTATGTCGCTGGACTCCCACGTAGTGGACCGCAGTTCGCGTCCCAGACCCGGTGGCTTAAACTCATGCTGGGCGCGTGTGCATGCGTGTCCAAGATCCCGAGAGGAGAATGGAGGAGAAGGGATTGCGGCGTGACCATCCCCCCCTGGGGGGTGATTTCTCACTTTCTGTCTCTATGTCTCTCTCCGTCTGTCTGGCGAGCGCACGCGCCCTATAGCAAAAACCTCTTAAAAAAAAAAAATGTTAAAAATACAAACTAAAACACTGATGGGACTCCCTTTTTTCTTTTTGTAAACTTTGCTATAGGATATGTGCACTCCCAGGAGACAAACAGAGAAAGGGAGAAAAAGTGAGCATGCGCTGTGAGAGGGGATGGCCACATCACAGTCTTCCCCTCCTGGACTGTGGGCACACACACAAGAGTCCAGCATGATTCCAAGCCTCCAGGTCCGGGACTCAAAGCGTGTCATCAGTCACGGGGACCCAGACTCCTTAACCACCAAGTTACCAGCCGGGCGGCACTTATTTGTAATAAGTAGCATTACCGAAGCTTTCTAGTCAACCTTTCGATGTCTTAGAGTTTTTAAAATTTTCTAGAGACTATTTTACAGAAGAAATAAAGCTTTTGTTATTAAAATAGGACCCACATGCTAGTAAAAATGGTTTGGATTTAAAGACTCCTAGTATTTGTGACTTGGAGACTTTAGAAGTCATCTTGTTGCCAGTCCACAGACGAGAAATTTGCAGATACAAGAACTTTTATGGCATTTTCTTATTAGAATGGTATTTGCATATCAGTCGTTCCAATGGACACGTTTCCACCTCCCTCTAGAGCCTAGACCAGAAGAGGCTCGCAGACCAAGCATTTCGCTCTCACCCTGAGACCATTGAGGAGCAGGGAAATGTCTCCTGGAAGACAAATAGGCTCAAGACCCCCATCGATACCAAAGATGCCCTTTCCGGAGCAGAGAGGGCAGGACCCGCCAACCCCGCAGCACCCACCTGCCGTTTGATTCTCCTTCACAGTGACGTTAAACTCCTTCCCAGGAAACTGGGGAGCGTGATCGTTCACATCGCTGATCCTAATGTGGAAAATCAAGGATTTATCCACGATCTGCCCTGTCGTGCGATCCGCAACGTCGAAACGCACCTAGGAAGCAGAGCCGTGTATTACCATCCAGAACCACTGACTCGCTGGCGCTGGTGGAGCCACTGCCAGTCTGATGGATTCTGTGTTCTGCAGCTGTCGCCTCCCTCTCTTAAACTGGGCTCCTGAGATCAGGAGTCACAGTGCTCCCCTCTGTAAGCCTAGGACTCAGGCCCCTGCTGTGTGGACGCAACAAACATGGAGAGATGACCAAGGCACTGATCGGAAAACAAGTTGCAGGTTGTCGTTAGGTTCAAATCTCGGTTTCTCCATTCGCATGAATGCAAGCGAGTTTCGTAGAAGCCTCCGTTCTACAATTACATACACCAATGATATCGCTGGACATTGACTTGGCAGCTTCTAAAAGACTTTTTGGGAAGTGAACATCTGAAGTAAGTACAGCTATCGACACGCAGTGTGTCCTTAAATGGTCATCGCTGTCACTATAGCCTTGGACAAGGACGGTCACTCCTCAAACGTCTGCAAAAGTCTTTCCTTTCAAAAGGTCTCAAGTCAGTCATTTAAACTTCGACCTTAGGAAACTGAACGGAAGAGCAAATTAGACCCAAACGGCAAGAAGGAGGCAGTAAAGGAAGTGCCAGACAGTGAGACGGAAAGAGCAGACCAGTAGAGAAATCCACAGAGACCGAGAGTCAGCCCTTTGCAATCGTCCATGAACTGGGTGAACTTCTAAAACGGGTGAGGGGACAAGAGAGAGGGCGAAGTGACCAGCACCAGGAGTGAAAGAAGCCTGACTAAGTGGGTGATGAGAAGTCTCTGCCAACGTGCTCAACAACTTAAATGAAATAGACCAAGTTCCTAACAGAGAAATGACACGTTTCTCAAGAAGAAATAGAGAACCTGAGTAGTCCCAGACTTACTTTTAAAATGGACCGTGTAGCTTAAAGCCTTCTAAGAAACAAACCCAACAATCTCTAGGTCCAGATGGCTTTAGTAACACTGGTGGAGCCACTGCCAGCCTGATGGATTCTGTGCGTCACAATTTGAAGGAAGAAGTACGAACTTAATACATTGTCTCCTAGAAATTATCAAAGTAAAACTTGCCAATTTATTCTATGAGACTAACATTACATTAAAGCCAAGTCACACTGTCTAAGTCACCAGAAAACTATAGAACAATATTCCTTGTAAACTCAGACAAAAAAGCCCACAGCAAAACATCATCAAATAGTATTCAGCTATAGACAAAAGGAGGTACATCCCGACCGAATGGGGTTTAACGCTGAGGACAGGAGGCTAATGCAGCGTTTGGAAGTCAGAGTTAGCAATGTCACAGGATATAAAGGTAATATGAAAAGATCAATTATATCATTATAAACCAGCAATGGATAATTGAGAAAAAAATTAGAAAACAGTGCCAATTAGAAATCTCAAATATGTGCCAAATTTGTTTACTAAACATTATAAAGTACGGATGAAAGAAATCCAAGGCCTCGCTAAGTGGAAAGGCACTGTGGATGGATTGAGACCCTCCGTATCACCAAGGACAGTTCCTCCAAAACTGAGCTACAAATTCAGTGCAAGCCCAGCCAGGAAACTACCAGGATATTTTTAAGTATCAACAAGCTGACCCCAAGACTTATATGCCAAGGCAAAGAAGTTCCAATAGCTGAAATAATTTTGAAAGAGAAAAGCCAAGTCAGAGGACTCACCCCACGTCATTTCTAGATTTATTATAAAGATGCAGTAATCCAGAGAGGGTGGATTGCTCAAAGGTTAGACCGTGTGTCACTGAAATAGAACAGAGTGCAGAAATGACACGAACGGCTGATTGTTCTTAACAAGATCCAAAGGCAAGTCACTGGAGAGAAGAGAGCCTTTTCTTTTCTTTTTTAAGGTTTTTGCCACAGGATGCATGTGCTCACTAGAGAGAGACAGAGAGAAAGAGTGAGAGGAAAAGTCAGAAAAAACCCTGGAGGGGAGTGGCCATGCCGCAGTCACTTCTCTGTTCTCCTCCTGGGCTTTTGTGCATGCACACACCTGTGTCAGGTGAGATTTTCAAGCCGCCAAGTCTGGGACTTGAGCCACGGTCAGCCATGTGGGAGTCCAGCACCTTAACAACCACGCCACCTGCTGGCCCCAGGATAGCCTTCTCAATAAATGATGCTGAACCAGCTAGATATCCATAGTTGAGCAATCCTTATACGTCTAAGCACGCACTTGTCCTGTGATCTAATGAGCCACCCGTAGGCTTTACCTAAAAGAAATGAAAACGAGGCTTCCACGAAAATCTCAAATATGTGCCAAATTTGTTTACTAAACATTATAAAGTACGGATGAAAGAAATCCAAGGCCTCGCTAAGTGGAAAGGCACTGTGGATGGATTGAGACCCTCCGTATCACCAAGGACAGTTCCTCCAAAACTGAGCTACAAATTCAGTGCAAGCCCAGCCAGGAAACTACCAGGATATTTTTAAGTATCAACAAGCTGACCCCAAGACTTATATGCCAAGGCAAAGAAGTTCCAATAGCTGAAATAATTTTGAAAGAGAAAAGCCAAGTCAGAGGACTCACCCCACGTCATTTCTAGATTTATTATAAAGATGCAGTAATCCAGAGAGGGTGGATTGCTCAAAGGTTAGACCGTGTGTCACTGAAATAGAACAGAGTGCAGAAATGACACGAACGGCTGATTGTTCTTAACAAGATCCAAAGGCAAGTCACTGGAGAGAAGAGAGCCTTTTCTTTTCTTTTTTAAGGTTTTTGCCACAGGATGCATGTGCTCACTAGAGAGAGACAGAGAGAAAGAGTGAGAGGAAAAGTCAGAAAAAACCCTGGAGGGGAGTGGCCATGCCGCAGTCACTTCTCTGTTCTCCTCCTGGGCTTTTGTGCATGCACACACCTGTGTCAGGTGAGATTTTCAAGCCGCCAAGTCTGGGACTTGAGCCACGGTCAGCCATGTGGGAGTCCAGCACCTTAACAACCACGCCACCTGCTGGCCCCAGGATAGCCTTCTCAATAAATGATGCTGAACCAGCTAGATATCCATAGTTGAGCAATCCTTATACGTCTAAGCACGCACTTGTCCTGTGATCTAATGAGCCACCCGTAGGCTTTACCTAAAAGAAATGAAAACGAGGCTTCCACGAAAACTTGTACACTTGCAGCAGCTTTGTGATCCCGAAGCTGAAGGGAGCACAGCTGCCCTTCCATAGGTAAGCTGGAGCGGAGTGCAGTACTTCCATAAGGCGGAACAGCGCAATAGACAGGGACAAACCCATGACGCTCACGAGGGCTTGCAGGAAGGTGGATGTGCTACGCGGAGTGAGCAAGTCCAGGCTTCAGAGGGGTGTTCAGTGTGACAGTCCAGACGAGGACAAATTATAGCATGGGAGAGGCGAGTGTTTCCAGGGTGACAGTCGGGGGTGGGGGTGGGCCTTGACTAGAAAGAAGTGTCTAGAAATAGTGGGAGTGAAGGAACTGGCTGCTCCTGACTGTGGGCACTCACAGAACTCAGAGATCTGGCCGCCACATGCGATCGCGCTTACTGTGTGTAAATGTAAAAAACAAGTTTCTATCTTTTTTCCTTTAGTTTTGCTATGGAGCATGGGTACTCACCAGAGAGAGAGAGACAGAGAGAGAGTGAGACATCAACTCCCCACCCCCAGGAGGGAGGACTACACTGCAATCCCTTCCCCTCCATTCTCCTCTCAGGATTTTGGGCATGTACACATACATGCCTGGAGCGATTTTCAAGCCTCCGGGCTCTGGGCTCAGGGCTCAAACCGCGGCTGACCATGTAGGATCCAGCTGCCTTTCTCCCCATGCCACCTGGCTGGCCCCAAAATGAGTTTTTAAAAAATAAAATATATACAAAATGTGGAAGGCGTAAGTACAATTAAGATTTATAAGGCCATTTCATTATCCAAGAAGTTACAAAAATACTTTACATTAAATCTAATAAGGGAAGAATGAATGTTATAATTTCACTGTGATTTTCCTCTCCTTTGTGGAATGAGATCAGAGAGAAAAACTGGGTGGCAGGGTGAGATTTTTAATGAATATTTCATAGGCCTTTGTATTGTTTAAAATTTTATAAGAAACCTTTATTAATTTTACATCTAAAAAGGAAGCGAGCAACAAGAACGCAGATTCACTGCTGGTGGGTGGGAGCGCCAAGGCTGCAGTGCGCTGGAGGGCCGCTGGGGAGTTCCCTGCAGAACCAAGCCTACCCTTACTGCCCGATCCAGCCACTGCCCTCCCGAGGGAGCTGAATTGTGTGTCCACAAAAAACCCTGACAGGAGCATTATGGCAGTTGATGCAGATCACAGAGACCTCCCAAAAGTCCTTCAGTGGATAAATGGATCGACCAGCTGGGGCAGGTCCAGGCGGTGGGTGATTATGTGAGAAAAAGACAGGGAGGGACCTTCGGCTGGTGTTGCCATGTGAAGAAGCCTGTCTGGAAAGTCTACACGCTCTGTGATTCCTGTGTTTCACGTTTCCTTCCAAAGAGGGCACAGCTGTGGAGACAGTAAAAGGATCGGGGCGGCCAGAGGCTCTCAAGGGTGGGAGACGGGAGCTTCAGGCGCAGATGTTCTTGCTCTGCGGGCCGCCAGGCTGGTGGGTACACTTGTCAAAACCCAAATGAACACGAGGAGTGACCCCACATGAACTACGGGTTTACCAGCTGTAACAATGTGCCACGCTGTTACCAGATGTCCCTAAGGAAGGACATAGGGTAGGGAAGGAGGGGTAGGAGAACTCTGCTTTCCTTTCTACTTTCCTATGAGACTGCAACTGCTGGGGCCAGCAGGTGGCATGGTGGCTGACCATGGCACAAGTCCCAGACCTGGTGGCTTGCTTCCTCACTTGCTCTCTCTCTCTCTCTCTCTGTCGCTCTCTGGTAAGTGCATGTGCCCTACAGCAAAATAAAAAAATAAATAATGATGACAGTATATTAAATTAAATTTAAAACATTAATAAAACTGCTTTAAAATTTAAAGATGCTATTTTTAAAAGTATGTTCCTACTTGTAAAATAAAAAGTAGGCAAAAAAAATATACATATATGTATGTATGTGCATATACATTAAAAAATGTTCATTGAAAATGGAATTAAAGTGTTAAAAGTGCAAGTGTGTTTTGGTGCAGAAAACCTTTAAAATCCATGCGTATTTCTTTCATAATATGAATTTCCCGTGAGCCTTTGAACAGCTCTCTATTACCATATGTGTGTGGGGCATGTATGAGCATTGTTCCTTTAAAGCACATGTAATCTGACTTGCCAGTCCACAGACGAGAAATTTGCAGATACAAGAACTTTTATGGCATTTTCTTATTAGAATGGTATTTGCATATCAGTCGTTCCAATGGACACGTTTCCACCTCCCTCTAGAGCCTAGACCAGAAGAGGCTCGCAGACCAAGCATTTCGCTCTCACCCTGAGACCATTGAGGAGCAGGGAAATGTCTCCTGGAAGACAAATAGGCTCAAGACCCCCATCGATACCAAAGATGCCCTTTCCGGAGCAGAGAGGGCAGGACCCGCCAACCCCGCAGCACCCACCTGCCGTTTGATTCTCCTTCACAGTGACGTTAAACTCCTTCCCAGGAAACTGGGGAGCGTGATCGTTCACATCGCTGATCCTAATGTGGAAAATCAAGGATTTATCCACGATCTGCCCTGTCGTGCGATCCGCAACGTCGAAACGCACCTAGGAAGCAGAGCCGTGTATTACCATCCAGAACCACTGACTCGCTGGCGCTGGTGGAGCCACTGCCAGTCTGATGGATTCTGTGTTCTGCAGCTGTCGCCTCCCTCTCTTAAACTGGGCTCCTGAGATCAGGAGTCACAGTGCTCCCCTCTGTAAGCCTAGGACTCAGGCCCCTGCTGTGTGGACGCAACAAACATGGAGAGATGACCAAGGCACTGATCGGAAAACAAGTTGCAGGTTGTCGTTAGGTTCAAATCTCGGTTTCTCCATTCGCATGAATGCAAGCGAGTTTCGTAGAAGCCTCCGTTCTACAATTACATACACCAATGATATCGCTGGACATTGACTTGGCAGCTTCTAAAAGACTTTTTGGGAAGTGAACATCTGAAGTAAGTACAGCTATCGACACGCAGTGTGTCCTTAAATGGTCATCGCTGTCACTATAGCCTTGGACAAGGACGGTCACTCCTCAAACGTCTGCAAAAGTCTTTCCTTTCAAAAGGTCTCAAGTCAGTCATTTAAACTTCGACCTTAGGAAACTGAACGGAAGAGCAAATTAGACCCAAACGGCAAGAAGGAGGCAGTAAAGGAAGTGCCAGACAGTGAGACGGAAAGAGCAGACCAGTAGAGAAATCCACAGAGACCGAGAGTCAGCCCTTTGCAATCGTCCATGAACTGGGTGAACTTCTAAAACGGGTGAGGGGACAAGAGAGAGGGCGAAGTGACCAGCACCAGGAGTGAAAGAAGCCTGACTAAGTGGGTGATGAGAAGTCTCTGCCAACGTGCTCAACAACTTAAATGAAATAGACCAAGTTCCTAACAGAGAAATGACACGTTTCTCAAGAAGAAATAGAGAACCTGAGTAGTCCCAGACTTACTTTTAAAATGGACCGTGTAGCTTAAAGCCTTCTAAGAAACAAACCCAACAATCTCTAGGTCCAGATGGCTTTAGTAACACTGGTGGAGCCACTGCCAGCCTGATGGATTCTGTGCGTCACAATTTGAAGGAAGAAGTACGAACTTAATACATTGTCTCCTAGAAATTATCAAAGTAAAACTTGCCAATTTATTCTATGAGACTAACATTACATTAAAGCCAAGTCACACTGTCTAAGTCACCAGAAAACTATAGAACAATATTCCTTGTAAACTCAGACAAAAAAGCCCACAGCAAAACATCATCAAATAGTATTCAGCTATAGACAAAAGGAGGTACATCCCGACCGAATGGGGTTTAACGCTGAGGACAGGAGGCTAATGCAGCGTTTGGAAGTCAGAGTTAGCAATGTCACAGGATATAAAGGTAATATGAAAAGATCAATTATATCATTATAAACCAGCAATGGATAATTGAGAAAAAAATTAGAAAACAGTGCCAATTAGAAATCTCAAATATGTGCCAAATTTGTTTACTAAACATTATAAAGTACGGATGAAAGAAATCCAAGGCCTCGCTAAGTGGAAAGGCACTGTGGATGGATTGAGACCCTCCGTATCACCAAGGACAGTTCCTCCAAAACTGAGCTACAAATTCAGTGCAAGCCCAGCCAGGAAACTACCAGGATATTTTTAAGTATCAACAAGCTGACCCCAAGACTTATATGCCAAGGCAAAGAAGTTCCAATAGCTGAAATAATTTTGAAAGAGAAAAGCCAAGTCAGAGGACTCACCCCACGTCATTTCTAGATTTATTATAAAGATGCAGTAATCCAGAGAGGGTGGATTGCTCAAAGGTTAGACCGTGTGTCACTGAAATAGAACAGAGTGCAGAAATGACACGAACGGCTGATTGTTCTTAACAAGATCCAAAGGCAAGTCACTGGAGAGAAGAGAGCCTTTTCTTTTCTTTTTTAAGGTTTTTGCCACAGGATGCATGTGCTCACTAGAGAGAGACAGAGAGAAAGAGTGAGAGGAAAAGTCAGAAAAAACCCTGGAGGGGAGTGGCCATGCCGCAGTCACTTCTCTGTTCTCCTCCTGGGCTTTTGTGCATGCACACACCTGTGTCAGGTGAGATTTTCAAGCCGCCAAGTCTGGGACTTGAGCCACGGTCAGCCATGTGGGAGTCCAGCACCTTAACAACCACGCCACCTGCTGGCCCCAGGATAGCCTTCTCAATAAATGATGCTGAACCAGCTAGATATCCATAGTTGAGCAATCCTTATACGTCTAAGCACGCACTTGTCCTGTGATCTAATGAGCCACCCGTAGGCTTTACCTAAAAGAAATGAAAACGAGGCTTCCACGAAAACTTGTACACTTGCAGCAGCTTTGTGATCCCGAAGCTGAAGGGAGCACAGCTGCCCTTCCATAGGTAAGCTGGAGCGGAGTGCAGTACTTCCATAAGGCGGAACAGCGCAATAGACAGGGACAAACCCATGACGCTCACGAGGGCTTGCAGGAAGGTGGATGTGCTACGCGGAGTGAGCAAGTCCAGGCTTCAGAGGGGTGTTCAGTGTGACAGTCCAGACGAGGACAAATTATAGCATGGGAGAGGCGAGTGTTTCCAGGGTGACAGTCGGGGGTGGGGGTGGGCCTTGACTAGAAAGAAGTGTCTAGAAATAGTGGGAGTGAAGGAACTGGCTGCTCCTGACTGTGGGCACTCACAGAACTCAGAGATCTGGCCGCCACATGCGATCGCGCTTACTGTGTGTAAATGTAAAAAACAAGTTTCTATCTTTTTTCCTTTAGTTTTGCTATGGAGCATGGGTACTCACCAGAGAGAGAGAGACAGAGAGAGAGTGAGACATCAACTCCCCACCCCCAGGAGGGAGGACTACACTGCAATCCCTTCCCCTCCATTCTCCTCTCAGGATTTTGGGCATGTACACATACATGCCTGGAGCGATTTTCAAGCCTCCGGGCTCTGGGCTCAGGGCTCAAACCGCGGCTGACCATGTAGGATCCAGCTGCCTTTCTCCCCATGCCACCTGGCTGGCCCCAAAATGAGTTTTTAAAAAATAAAATATATACAAAATGTGGAAGGCGTAAGTACAATTAAGATTTATAAGGCCATTTCATTATCCAAGAAGTTACAAAAATACTTTACATTAAATCTAATAAGGGAAGAATGAATGTTATAATTTCACTGTGATTTTCCTCTCCTTTGTGGAATGAGATCAGAGAGAAAAACTGGGTGGCAGGGTGAGATTTTTAATGAATATTTCATAGGCCTTTGTATTGTTTAAAATTTTATAAGAAACCTTTATTAATTTTACATCTAAAAAGGAAGCGAGCAACAAGAACGCAGATTCACTGCTGGTGGGTGGGAGCGCCAAGGCTGCAGTGCGCTGGAGGGCCGCTGGGGAGTTCCCTGCAGAACCAAGCCTACCCTTACTGCCCGATCCAGCCACTGCCCTCCCGAGGGAGCTGAATTGTGTGTCCACAAAAAACCCTGACAGGAGCATTATGGCAGTTGATGCAGATCACAGAGACCTCCCAAAAGTCCTTCAGTGGATAAATGGATCGACCAGCTGGGGCAGGTCCAGGCGGTGGGTGATTATGTGAGAAAAAGACAGGGAGGGACCTTCGGCTGGTGTTGCCATGTGAAGAAGCCTGTCTGGAAAGTCTACACGCTCTGTGATTCCTGTGTTTCACGTTTCCTTCCAAAGAGGGCACAGCTGTGGAGACAGTAAAAGGATCGGGGCGGCCAGAGGCTCTCAAGGGTGGGAGACGGGAGCTTCAGGCGCAGATGTTCTTGCTCTGCGGGCCGCCAGGCTGGTGGGTACACTTGTCAAAACCCAAATGAACACGAGGAGTGACCCCACATGAACTACGGGTTTACCAGCTGTAACAATGTGCCACGCTGTTACCAGATGTCCCTAAGGAAGGACATAGGGTAGGGAAGGAGGGGTAGGAGAACTCTGCTTTCCTTTCTACTTTCCTATGAGACTGCAACTGCTGGGGCCAGCAGGTGGCATGGTGGCTGACCATGGCACAAGTCCCAGACCTGGTGGCTTGCTTCCTCACTTGCTCTCTCTCTCTCTCTCTCTGTCGCTCTCTGGTAAGTGCATGTGCCCTACAGCAAAATAAAAAAATAAATAATGATGACAGTATATTAAATTAAATTTAAAACATTAATAAAACTGCTTTAAAATTTAAAGATGCTATTTTTAAAAGTATGTTCCTACTTGTAAAATAAAAAGTAGGCAAAAAAAATATACATATATGTATGTATGTGCATATACATTAAAAAATGTTCATTGAAAATGGAATTAAAGTGTTAAAAGTGCAAGTGTGTTTTGGTGCAGAAAACCTTTAAAATCCATGCGTATTTCTTTCATAATATGAATTTCCCGTGAGCCTTTGAACAGCTCTCTATTACCATATGTGTGTGGGGCATGTATGAGCATTGTTCCTTTAAAGCACATGTAATCTGACTTGCTATTGACTCTCCCGTTGCTCTAGGCTCCATAGCAATTTTATCTGGGGACGTCTGTGAAGCTGGGGGGGAGCGAGGGGCAAGCAGTGCACTGAGTCGGAGCAGAGGGAGGGAACAAGGCCCTCAGGCAGCCCCAGGGAGCTCTCCCAGCAGAGGAGCGCTTCGCCGTGGCACCGCGGAGTCCCAAGAACTGGCCGGTCTCCAGGTATGGTGTCGACTCGGACTCGTCACAGAAGGATGGCTGCTTGTCCCCAGCACAGGCCCCTCGTGTGAATCAACTCTTCGTCCTCACAGAGTCCCGAAGGGAGGCACCAGCCTGAGCTGTGTGACCTTTGCTTCCAAGTCTTCCCCACTTCTCCTGGGGCTCCTCAGGGCAGGCAGCATCCCCAGGCAACATTCAAGATTCCGAGCCCAGCCAGCCAGCCCTTCCCTCATTATATCTTTCCTCTTCCACGAGCCCACCGGCCCACTCGGCTGCACCCACACGCCCCTTGGGCCTTCTTTCCCTGCGGGCGGGTGCTCGCTCTCCCCCATCACCACAGAGGGGTGGGGCCACCCAGAGCCGAAGTCAGCCTGGCTGCAGTTCTAGCTCCTCCTGGCCTCACTGTCCCTGAGGGAGCTGCAGGGCTGCTGCTGGGGCTGTGCTCCCTCGGAGACTCGGACGTGCATTTTTAAACTTTGTGCGAGCAAATTGGCTTTCTCACACTCCATTTCGACCTTCTCCATAATTTACGACTGTACCGGCATCTGCTGGCTCCTTAATCACTCGACTTCTGGCTCCAATGCTGAGCCAACTGTAATCCTTCCGCTTGAAAACAAGAACCACATGTTTGTTTTATGTCGATTATTTTATATTCCATTTATTATCCTAAAAGCTACATCTGAGACCTTTCGTTCTCTAAGACGCTGGAGAAGCATGAGCCCTCTTTCCTCTTTGGCAAGATGCTGAGACTTTCTGGAGGACTCCGAGTCGCGACGGGGAGGGGAAATGTCATGGGTATTTTCTGCACTTGGAGATGCTTTTCAGCCTTTTGTTACAGCCTTAAGATTTATACTCGCAGATAAACAAACCATGGCGCGTTAACATGATGGATCGCCATCTGGCTATTTGAAATTGCACGCATAAGATCTATAGTCCTACACGTCCTGAGCAGATGGAGACATCTTAAATGCCAAATGCGCAATTTGAAATCACTTCAACGGCCGGGTTAGAAGTAGGCAAAGATGACTACTGCGTGGGGCAAAGATCAACGAGTAATTACTTGGAGGAATATAAAGGGATGTTTTGGGGAGTGGGTTTGTATCAATGAAGTTGAGCATATTTTGCTATAAATAGATAAGTAGATAAGACTCCTGACTTTTAAAAAGTCAGACTCTTGCGCTTTTCGACTGCCTTAAATCTTACAGTGATTTTCAGTGGACCTTTCTTTTCTTTTCTTTTTTTAAGAGGTTTCTGCCTTAGAGCATGTGTGCTCACCAGAGAGAGAGAGAGAGAGAGACAGAGAGAGGGTTTTTTTTCCCCCGGGGAGGATGGCCGCACTGCAATCCTTTCTTTTCCATTCTCCTCCTGGGATCTTGGCCACATGTGCACACGTGCCTGGTGTGATTTTCAAGCCGCTGGTCCAGGACTCCAACCACAGTCGGCCATATGGGAGTCCAGCAATGAACTGCTATGCCATCTGCTGGTCCCCGGCAGCCCTTCTTATAGGTTCATGGAATTAGTAAGAGGTTAGCCTTCCCCCTGCGACTCCCAAACACAAGTCTCTAAATGGTTTGTCTAGTTCTAGAGACTCCTAGAATGTCCCTGCCGCTAAGTTGGGTTTATGTGATGTCTAGTCACATCCTGTCTTTGTGCCCTACCCCAACCCACAATAAACGTTCCCCTCCAGCAGCAGACGGGTGTCAGGCCCTGTTGGTGTAGCGTTTGCATGACACTTAGCTCATGCCCCTGTCCATGGCAGGTAACCCCTTCCCCTCGGATAGTGTGCAAGCCCCGCTGTGTCTGTTGCCCGGGGCGGCCCTAACCAAGCAGCACAACCTGGGTGGCCAGAGCCCAATCAAGGTGTGGGCAGGGCTGGCTGCTTCCGGGGCCTTGAGGGCATCAGTTCAGGCTGGCTCTTCGCGCCGGTGGCTGCTGGTCAGCCCCGGCCATCCCTGGCTTGTAGGCGGGTCACTCTGATCTCCGCCTCCATCTCACATGGCCTCCTCCATGGCTGTCTGTGTCCATGTTTCTTTCTTCCTGTCAGGACACCAGTCGCTAGGTCAGCGTCTCCTCTAATCCACTATGACCTCACCGTAACTTAACATCATCTGCAAGGATCCTCTGTCCGAATGAGCATCCACAGGGGCCAGGGGCTAGGACTTCATGGGAGACACAGTTCGACCCACAGCTCCCCAGAAGGCAGAGACTGGGCTTTCTGTTCTCCTTCTTTCATTCACCCGGCTACTGAGAGGAGAACCTGCTTGTGAGGGCCCGGGTCTAGTCGCTGGGTAAACGCCGTGAATCGGCCAGGGCTCTGTGCTCCTGGGGCTTCCGTTCTGAAAGGCAGGATCAACACACGAGTATACATTCCCAGCAGTGGCTCATGACGAGGTGAAATCAGACAAGAGAGCGGTCAGAGAGTCACGGGCGGGTGGGGGCACGCCTTGGGATTTCCACCCTGGGTCTCCCCTTGTGGGCTTCCTAGTCACGTGGGGGAGCCAGGAATCACATAATCACGTATCAGTACAAAAGGACACCCGTGACCAACGTGTCAAGGGATTAGAACATGGACCCGGCCTAGCCAGGGGGGTCTGAGCATGGGCCTTGTCAT